ATCATTTTTATCCTATCTTTCCTGGTTCTTTTTATTGTTTAATCTAACGAAATTGGGAGCCTTTTTACAATTAAAAGGTTACTAGAAAAATATATAATATACGAATATATAAAAAATAATTGAACTGAAAAATATACTACAAGCTAGGAATATTTATATATTAGTTAAATTTTATTTTTACATATTTCAGTAACAATCAAATAATTGTTCATTGTATAAGAATAAGATAAATTAATGATATTAAATTTTATGTAGTCAAAATATTCATATAGCACGTTCCTCTACTCAACATACTTGCAGTCTGATCGGTGCCGGATCAATTGTTTATTTACATATTTTTCGTAATTGCAGCTAATTGCAGCAAATTATTTTTATAAAATAAAAAGAAGACTTCAAACTTAAGATGTCATAAAACTAAACGCTGCGTTGTGCTGCACTCATAACGAACAGGTGTAATGAATATTAAAAACAATCAAATCGGTGTAACTGTCGCGTCGCGTTTGAATTCTTCAATGAATTCTGACGGATTGTAAATTCGCTACGCTGCCCTTTGTCAATGTTGCTTGCCAAATTAATTTTCAACAACCAGTTGAAATAATCGCGAGCAAGAAGATCTAAGGTGTGTCGAGTGCTAGACTGCAATCGAGTCGAACATCGACGTTAGTAACGCTTCACGAGAAATTTTAGGATAGTCGAACATTAGGCAAACAACGTAAGAGCTGAAAGAATGACCGCTTTTGGAATATAACCGTTTATAGCTCCTTAGCCCGTCAAGGTCTAAGGATACCACGCACCCAGATTTATGCTAACTCCCTTATTAGTCGAATCCCAACTATTATCGCCTAACCTTGTTGAATGAGGGTCGTATTGCTTTGCGTGTCGGGGGTCATTCGAAACAATAAACAGGAAATTTTCTAACGATACACAACAATGATACGGCACATTAGAATATTCCGATGATCTTGTCATTCAGGGACTTAGGATTTGATCGTTGGAAGACCGCAACAGAGTCGTCCAGGCTTGTCTTTGTTCCCCGACGGAACAGATACAAAACCGGAATGAAAAGCAACGCATTGCATAATGGGGAGACTTCCCCATTCGGTTGGCGAAGTGTTTAACGAATAATACAATGGTCTTGTCACAGGGATGTAAAAGCCTGTGTATCGCTTTTACCGCCATTGAAAATGTTTTGTAACGAATGTTCTGACGATTTGACGTCGACGTCGTTATCTATCAGCTTCACGAACGTGTCAGTTGTAATATGGTATTCAAATGCGGTTAAGGAGTTTTTCTTTTAGCCCTTGGTACGATTCTTGTGACCGTGCTAATCGTCGTATTTTAATAAAGCCGATCACGGACTTCAGGTTTTAATAAAACCATCTATGCTACATATCATTTATCTTTACCGCTAATATGCTGAAGATCGGTTATAAATTATGACTAATGTAGGCTCAAGTATTACCAAAATGAATTCTAATATTACTTTTTCTTTAAATTAAGATATTTAAATTTTTTCTTGAAACACGATATACAAGATATTTCTATTATAAGTAAGTAACAAGTAATTATATCTAACTGATAAGTAATCATATAAAAATATAAATAAGTACATTAGTAAAAATATTTGTATACCTTTTACTAAACTTTTATTTCATTTGAAATGAAACACAATATACTTAATACAATTTAATTTATAATATTAAATAGACAATTTAATTAGACACAAGTAACATATAAATAAATACAAATAGACACAAATAAACGTCAATAGATATAAAAATAAACAACATTACTATTTGTTTTTTCCTGTATAAAAGTTGTTCACTTTGTACAATGTAATAATAGTATTAAATTTCAGTGCTATTATGTACTTCTCTCATTGTTTCATGTATTATCAAAACAAGATTTATTTGTCGCATGTTTCACTTCTTGATGTATTTTTCTTAAAGTGTCAGGATCCATCAAAAATCGTTGCCAAAGGATATTTTTTTCTCGTTCGTAGCTTGTATTTGTTTCCTGAAAAGTTTCAATTATTATATAAGAAATAATTAAATATACGTGTATATTTTATTATTATATAATTATATATGTATTAATTTACCAGTTGTTCTTTTATTTGGCTCCTTATTTTTCTTAAGTCAATCTGTATATCTTGCAAATTACTAAATGTTTCATCATAACATGTCTCAATTTCATGGGAAACTGCTTTAAATGTATGTGTATGTTCTTTTTGAATTTCGTTCAAATATTGTACATTTATTTCATTTTGTCTAATTTATAAGAGATTAAAACTTATAGTATTCTTTACAATTTTACATATTATTAAAAAATCAATACTTACAACATTTCTAATTTAGAAATTTTAGAATTCAAATATGTTTCCATTGTGAAATGTTTCTTACTTTTGTTTTCGTCCATGAGAGTATTATATTTACTCAACATAGAATTTAATTGTTGTGTATTATCACCATTGCATACCATTGATACGAATAGTTTGTGAAATGAATTATGCATGTTTGGTGACGATAATATCGTTGCAAAGTACTCTTTTTGCTGCAGTTTCATGTTTTCCTGTATATAAAGAAAATGTAATTTAAAGTTAAAAATTACGGAACTTTTGTATTTTGATGAATTACTAACACATCTTTTCGTTGATAATGAATATTCCGTTGCTAAATAATGGTAAGCATCGGCTACAAATTCTGAGATGACTCTAAGTCGAGAAAATTGTATTTCCATTAATATTCGTAATAAATCAGTGGACACGTGACCATTTTCTCGCACAAGAAATAGCAGAGTTTTAAGTTTTTCCAAACAATTTTTTTTTTCCTTGTGTCTTGACTGCATATCATGTCTTAAAATTTTAGTGATTTCCCGTTCTGAGAACTGTTGCACCAATTCTGTTAATTGATTTTGTTGTAACAAATTGACATTTTCTTCCAAGAAATCTCTTCTTTTAGTCAGCGTTAATATCTCTGTGCTAATTTTAATATACAAAATTAATACTTACATAATATGATTAAAAAAATAATTGTACATCAAACTTTAAGATACCTTAATTCCAACGGTGATGGTACTTTTAAATTTCCTAAATTATATATATCTTTTATATAATTAAACACTGCACTCCATGATTTTTCTTCTATTTTAGCCAAAATTTTCTCCATCTTCGCATTAGTCAAGCTGTAAAATAAAGTATAAAGTACATTTTAAATTAATAGATATAATAATATCTCATTTACTAATAGTTATCAATACTTAATTACTTTGTTTTACACAATGCTAGTTCTTGTAACTCTTCATTATTTAAATTCTTTTTTCCACTGTTGCTTATTAAATAAATATAATCGGAATCTGTCGATTGCTCTTTCTCAGGTACACTTCCAAACTCTCGTTTTATATGGACATGTAAATATTGATTATATAGTTCAATTTTTTTAATAAATAGTTCTAATGGCATTTGAGTCCATAATAATGGTGTTCCTTTCTATAAAAATAATAATTTTATTAATATAAATTATGGATAAAATTAGAAAATTACTTACATTTTCAGCTGCATCTGCATAAATATTCAAAAGATGTTTGACTTCTTTAAAAAATTCATGATTGCGTATATCAAATTGTCTCAAAATTTCAAAACAATCTTCATATGCCTTATTTGCTTCAATAGTTTCCCTATTTAGACATTCTTCTTCTTTCTCTATATCTTCATCTAATTTAATCTCTAATTTCCTATAACAGCGTAACACTTTGTATGATAATATTAAATTTATCTGAATAAAAATACTCGTAACAATCATTTTACTTTAAATTTTGTATCCCGTTTTGTAGCGTGTAAATATAATTTTCATCTTCTTTGTGTGATTCTTTCAGTATTTCAAATTCTGCAAATAAATCATTAATATCTGTGTCATCAAAAGATACAATTTTTAATAAATCTGGAGCATCTTTAGTAGCTTCCTCCAATGCATGATCTAGTTCAGAACCTTCTAGCCACATGTTTGTATCTTGTAGCTTTTTCATTCTGAAATATATGCCATTAAATTTATTAGTCCATATTAACTAATTTCTTTAGAAAAACATCTTTTTAAATATTGCAAGGCACATATTTATTATATTATAGTTATATAAAAAAATGTTTCAGTCCATGTACTACTCAAATTAAATTTTGAAAAGAATATACTTTTGTTTCTGAAAAGAAATATAGAAACTTTATTAGTGCCTTCTTTCTTTATAATGTTTTACTATCAAAAATATACTATTCATTAATAAAATTACAGTATATTATACAAATAACTTATATTTTTTAATCCACATTAATAATTTTAGTATTTTAAACAGTAACTGTTAGTGACTGTTCTTGTATGCCTATGATACATCTAATTTAATATTATTACTTATGAAGATTTATTATTATCATTAAACTACTATATAAACTTTATCTTTTATATTAGTTTTGAATAATATCCAAATCAATATTGACGTGATACTAAAATATTATTTTTATTAAGTAATAAATAGCTATATTACATTTGAAGATCTTCATCTGACACAACATTGACGTAATTTAAATTTTCACAAAACCACTTTAAAAATGGTTGTACCACAGGCTCATCGCAAATTTTATCTAATAATTCCGGTGTAATAAGGTTCGAGAGTTCAGGACGTAAACCACAAACTTTATTATAAAGAGTTTTGCCAGAAACACTCATATTACGAACGATCTGTTGTCAAGTAAACTATTACTAGAAATTCAAAATTGAACGTGAATACAACGCTCGCTGGTGACTATTTGAAACGTAATGTTATACTCGACCTCCGTGCGGTCTTGTCGCGTTCCGCGGGTTTTTGGCGAAATTGGATACGGCAGAAATGACCATGGTGGACCGCTAGATGGCAGCAAGTGGCGCAAGGACTTACTTGCGCGCAAATCTATATATAGTTCATTTTCTGCCCAATAGAGTACGTTGCCAGCTATAGTATAGTACTCGAAATATTTGTATACATACATTTAGAGAAAATAACGTGATATTGAATTCAAATTTATTATTTTTCTATAATAATATAAATTACTATTAATTGTATTTCAGTGTCTAAATTTATATAATAACTAGAAATATGACGTCGGCAATAGAATCCATGGTAGTAGATGAAAAGCAATTACCAGAAAAACCAATAGATAGAGAAAAAGTATGTAATGTAAATTTTCTAAAAATATATTGAAAATTAATGCTTTCAAATTTTATAAAAAGTTCTAATATATTTTATATTTTTATATACATTCCTTTTATATCAATTGTATATAAATTTTCAGACATGTCCACTTTTACTCCGGGTATTTTGTAATACAGGCAGACATCATAATATAATGGAGTACAGTAGAGGAAATGTTCCTTCAAATGAATTACAAATATATACATGGTAAAATATTTTTAATAACATTATGTATACATACATACACATATACAGTTACTCCATTTAATATTCTGACATTGTGGTACTTGCATAGTTATTGTTCTATATATTTATTTGAAATAATTGCATCAACTTTTCTGATACTTAGTAGTTTAAAATACATATTTTAGTTTTCAAAGATAAAATTAGTTTTTTTTATTTTTAATTATTTTATTCATAAGGAATTATAAATGAAATTGGACTGAATTTTAATGTCGAAATAATATTTGGACTTTTGATACATCTTAATTATTCATTTTAGAAGGTGAATTTATAGATTCCTCAGAACTGTTTATGAAGATCAAGTGTATGTTACAGTTTAGTCTGTTTCTGTAGATTAGTTTCTCGAGACATTTCATTGTTACTATACATATTTGTGAAAATGGGTAGGAAAAATAAAAATACTTCATTTTACGTTCGACAATCAATATATTACCAAGAAAAAGATCAATTATATGGAAAAATTGAAAAATTATTAAACTTAAGTGAAAGTATTGTTGTGAATATTATAAAACGATATAAAGATAAAGATCATATTGAATCCATTTCTTAGAAAAGACGACCTACTTTAACTGCAGAATTGTATCCACAAACTAAGAAAAACGTCCACATGGTTACAATTTGCATTGTTTTAAAAGAAGCAAGCTACAATGATAAAGTGGTTCAAAAAAAAACCATACATAAACAAAATCAATCGCAAGGAACGTTTAACATTTGGTAAAGAATTTATTTCTAAAGCACAAATATGATGGAATGATGTGATCTTTGAGAATAAGAGTCAGTTGTTTTCTGTTTCTGTTATAAGCAAACAAAAATTAGTGTGACATAAATCGAATCAACAATTGCAGATAAATAATATGAAACTAACAATGATACATGTCAGTGGGAGCCATCAGGTATAGGGTTCTATTTTAACCACCAGAGTAGGAGAGTTAGTTTTCATTCATGGAATTTTAGATAAGAATGTGTACTTAGTCATATTAAAACAAAATTTAATAAAAAGTGCAATGAATATGGGTATATGAAACAGTTTCAAATTTTATCAAGATAACGATTCCAAACATAAGTCGCAGATTGGTCAAGAATTGTACAATTGTCCAAAAGTGCTCCACTCTCTATCCGTTAGAGAATTTATGAGACTTATTAGATCGTAATATTTGAATGACTCCAATAAGGACAAAAAAAGAACTAAAGTTATGGTTAAGAGAAGTGTGGGAATGTATCATTCAAAATTATTGAATTAAAATCATTTCAAACATGCTGACACAATTTTGTTTAAACATATTTGTATATAGAAGAAAGAACCTTATGTAATGTATGTCTGAATATTTTTGCGACCTTAAAATTGGGTCCAATTTCATTTATAATTCATTATGCATAAAATAAGGAGAAATAAAGTAATTAATTTTACATATTTGCAAACTATCTTTAAACTATTTATGTACCAAAAATGTTAACATAATTATTACAAATAAATATATAGAGTAATAATTTTGTAAGTGCCACAATATCCGAATATTAAATAAAGTAACTGTACTTATTACATAAGGTATTCAGTAGGAAGTTCAATAAACTTTACTCAGGTATTTAACAAGATATTCTGAACAAAAAATGTCATTATAGATTTATTTCATTTTTTTACAGAGGTAAACATTATTCATATTATCTTGAAAATGAAGTATATATGCTTCATAGTAGTAAAGATAAAACTTGTAGATGGTATTTAATTTACATTTTCGACTTATAGTTATACATAATTCTACCGCATGTAACAATTCTACAATATGATACAGCACAGGTAATTCTATGACAATATATATTGTATTTCATATGTAGATTATTCTAATTATATCTAATTTCTACAATAGAACCGTAATAATAGAGGCATTGTAATTGAGTATCCACAATGTGTTGATTCTATAATTCTTTATTATTGTACTTAGAACATATTTAAAATTTAAAAAAGAACAGATTTTCTTCATGGTAAAGTGTTAAATATCAGCAGAGTCAGAGTTGTAGTAATATAATATTTAAAAAAAAAAATGAAAGCACAATGAATAAAACAAAAAGTATCAACAACAAGAAATAAATTTATGTTATGATGAATAAAATTGTTAAATACAAATCAATTAGATATTTTTTCTAAATAATATTAGAAGTTTATAAAAATAAGAATATATAATTACGTACATCATTATATAAATTACTAAAATAAATACTTTGAAGTTATTATTTTTGTAAGATTGTCATTACATGAGTATATTTAATGTATTATTTTCAATTTATTTCATTAATAAAAAAATAATAGACTAAATAGATTCATAATGCATGTGATTTTTATCATTCATTTGTTGAATATATGAGTGAAGTTTATTAAATTCCTTGTTAGATATCCTTATAATATGTACCATATGTTATTAATATTAAAATTACATATTTATATTTTATAATTTACAGAAGAAGTAACAACATTAAAAATGTCACATTAATTATAGTCTTTATTTAATATTTACAGGATGGATGCTACGTTACGAGAAATTACAGGATTGGTTAAAGAAGTAAATCCAGATGCTAGAAGTAAAGGAACATACTTTGACTTCTCATTAGTAACACCAGAGTTACGAAATTCCGGATATCGTATGCGAGAAATCGGTGTTACTTGTTCTGGACAAAAGGGTGCAGATGATAACAAAACACTTGCTCAAGCAAGGTATGTCTTTTTACAACTTTTTTAATATCAATAAAACAATTTTACCTACTTATATAATTGCAGGTTTACAATCGGTGACTATTTAGACATTTCAATAACTCCACCAAATCGACAACCAGCAATTAGACGTGGTGCACTACGTCAGTATTGACATACCTAACAAAAATTTTATTTTTTAAAAGTTATGTTAACAATTTATTAATTTTATATAAATAAACAATATGCAATACTGAAATTATTATATTATTATATAAGTGTATAATTTATTTTCTTTATTCTGCAAGTCAATTACTTATTTACTATTGTGTAATTAATTATATGTATTAAATAGCTAGTTTTAAATATTACAAATATTAAACTAAGATGTAATTATATAAATTTGTATTTTTAAATACAATTTTTTTAGATAATTTTTGCCAATTATATTGTTCCATTGACATAATCTTATTTGACTTACTAAAATATTGATATATTTATAATTATTTTTAATTTTTAAATTGTTATAGTTATGCTCCTATAAAAATAATATAAATAAAAATAATAAATAAAAATAATTTTACATATCAAAATATTATAAGTGTTTTTTCAAAAACATGTTTACAAGCTATAATAATAATAATAATAATAATAATAGTAAATTGAAGTAACCAAATACAATTTTTCTGACAAATGTCAGAAAAAAATTTTGTTTAAATTGTAAAAGCACGGTTACAATTTGTAGGTTTCTGGTTTTCGTAATATCGTGATAAAATGGTAAATTTTCAAATCAATATTTCAAACTATATTTCTATACTTTTTTCGTTAATGCGGTTTTATTGGTAAAAGGAAATTGAGGTCCAATTATCTAAATATTCAATAGAGATCAAACTAGAAGTTAAGTTTGATCACTTGATTATATTAATATTTTATTGCATAAGAAATATTTTAACGAATTTGGAAAAAAGTTTGGGATCATGATGTTAAAATGACCACCTCACATATTGCTTTTCTTTAGCAAATAGATAAATTACTAAAGAAAAGAAAAACAATATTGCTGAAATTTTACTAATAGAAGATATAAAATTGATGAATAAATTTAAGTATTAAAAAAAGAAATTAGATAAAAGAAATTCTAAAAAAATTATCTGTCAAGATGGTTGCAGCTAAATTCTGATATTTTAGATCGGTCGAGATTTATTAGAAAAGAATTGCCGCAAGATTGATTTTGGCCACTTGTTTCAAGATCGATTTTTGTTATTTCTTTGTAGTGTTCCACTCAACATAAGGATCAATCATTTTAAAGGAACTATATGTCAGTGGCGAGTACCTTTACACATTCACTACCAAACGGATTTTATCTGCTATTAGTTGTTACTGCGAAAAATATCTTAACAAATTACTCCGGCACCAGCCGAATTGTGTAATATGGATTATTTTGACTGTGTAATATCGAATATTATTAATTTAGTTTATTCCTATACAAGGAATAAGCAATTGAATGTTGTAATTGAATCGGATACTGCGCACTGGTTTCATGTAAAGTAGACAAATATTCGTAAATATGTGAAATTATTAGATATGACTTGATATAATAAATAATATAATAAATATATTAGATATAACTTTTCGATGAATTACTGTTTACATTCGTTGTTTGGCAAGTATTGAAAAATATCAATATCAAAAAATATATTTTGAATAATGATTTTAAATTAGATAAAGTAATTATAGTAATGATCGGTTAAATTATAAAAAAGTAAGGAGTCAACGTTACATTTTAACCGAGCAGGATACCAACTTTTTTTTCCAAAAATCGATTCAAGCATTACCAAGTAAAAAAGTAAATGTGATATAACGAAAGGATGAAAACGAATAATTTGAATAGTCTAAATATTACTGTTGCGAACGTTTACTTTAAGACCGAAAGCATCGACGTTGTTTCTACGTGTCGCGGCGGAGTTACTTTCTCCTTTGGAAACGCGTAGTCTGATCAAAATTTAGACATTCTTATCATGTGGTTCATACATAGAGAATACCACAATTAATTTGTTTTATTATTTATCATCACTATTAAATATTTGCCGTCTAACCTCTTTTTTGAGTTGTTATAATGTTTTTGTACGAAAAAGGCGTTATGATGAGGAGACTGGGTTAGAGGAGAGTGTCGCAATTTTCGCTTCGCGTTACATGGAAATCGCATTATGAAAACACCGCCTTATAGGAGACTTGACTGTGCTTTAAAGGTTTGGTTGAGAGCTGATAATTTTGTGCGGTAGATAATCACGTTTAACTGTCTCCTGTGTTTACTGCTCGGTGTCTCGATTCTTTCTCATGAGGTTTCTGTATCCCCGCCTTGGCATGTTCATGATGCACACTGATTGGTTATTTCGAGAAGTGTTAATTTGCTTTTAGAACGGTAGTAGGTACAAGTTATAGTACATATTTAGTATCAAAAAACCCTAATGGGTTTCTTCACAATAGGCTTTCGTTTTCTAGATATTTTGATTTAAAATTGTATACGCACCTAGTAAATAAATTATTTAAGAAATTAATTTTTTCTTTACCAGAGCAAGTTGTTGGTAATACGAAAGGGCACTTGACTAGTAGAAACCTCTAGGGAAGTAGGTTGAATCCCCGCTGTTACTATTTTTTTTTGTGCATTTACACATACATTTTTGAATTGAAAAAATATTTTATTTATTTCTTTATTTAATATTAATCCTATATGACATGAATATTAGTTGTAAAATAAAACAAAAATTTATTTGGAAGGTAGAGTATGGATACCTAAAATGGGTATCCAGGTACACGGACATCCTTGTCAGATATCCAAGCATTACCATCATTCCAACAATTGTTTGAAATGTAACCAAAAATTATTAGTGTCCATAGTGGCGCTATGAACTATTAATACAGAATTCACCTGATAATGACTAATACGGAAAAATATATGCATTCTGCTATTTTATTACTGTACTCTTATTTTCTATCTTAAAAATTTTTTGTTTTACTTTACAACTAATATTGATGTCATATAGAGTTAATATTAAGTGCAAAAGTAAATAAAATATTTTTTCAATTCAAAGTTACATTAAAAACATTAAAAAAGATAATAACAGCGGGAATTTGAGAATCTACTCCCTTTTACAACTTTCTAACCTAACTGCCTTATCGGTTTACCTACAACTTGCTCTTGTAAACAAATAATTAATTTACTAGGTACATACAAAACTTTCAATCAAAATATTTCGCAAATGAAGGCCCATTCTGAAGAAACCCATTAAGGTTTTTTGATACTAGGTATGTACTATAATTTGTAATGTACTCTTGTAAGTGTCATAATCAACTTTTCATTTGGTATGGGAGCGCCTTTTCTTGGGAAGGGTGAGGCGATACCTGAGCAAGTATGAGATTTTGCCAAAAGGTTATGGCATTTCTCCAAGTCCGAAAGCTAGATAGCTGGTATCGTTAGAGAAACTTCGGAGTGTTCCTTCGGAATTACCGAGTTTTATAACACGTCTTTGGCTATTGAACGTGGACGAAATTAAGATTCATAAGAAAGAATATCTTGTTCATTTTCCCCCAATATTCCAAGATTCTTACTCGAAGATAGCCTTTCTTTACGATCGTGTTATAAACCTTCGAAATATCGACGTCATTTAGGTATGCCAAGACAGGATAATCCGTGTGCACTGCGTAACAGACATTAATTCGAGCTCTGAAATTCATGTATGTATATAGTTCATTCTATTTTTCTTAAGTTGTGTAAATTTATTCTTTCTAAAGTTTTATGATTAATTTTCGACATATCCTTAAATATGAGTAGCGAATGAAAATCACGCCTTATTTGTCCTTTTAGAAAAAGCGGTGGACCTTCAAATATCGAAAACTATGGGCCCATTAGTTTTCAAAGTATTATGCTTAAGATATTTGAAGGAATCACTGCTCGCACTCTTTCATTGCTGTGCAAGCATGCAATAATCGAACAGCACCACGGTTTTATGACTAAAAGATATATAAACTTTTTATACGTTATTAACACTATTTGTCGGGCTATTAAAAGAAGGCCTACAAGTAGATGCTGATTATACTGATTTTAGTAATACATTCGATTTAGTTACTCGTTCTATTCTGCCAAATAAATTACAAGTTCTTAGCCTTTCGGTCACATTGTTAAATTGACTGCAGAGTTTTCTAACTAGCAGATCGAAAATAAATTGTTATAATTTAGTATCTCGTGCTATAAAAATTACATCTGTCCAGCATTTCTATTTTTTTTCCTGCTGTTTGCTGATAATTTAAAAATATTATATGTTACAGAGAATACAGACAGCCAAACACGTATTCAACGTAACATCGGAAAACTTGGGTGGTGGTGTAAGTAAATACTACAAGTTGTGTCTTATCCCATTTGTGCAGAGCCGACGTGAGGTAGGTTCACTGCGTTCACCGGTACCCGGCTCCCTGTATAGCAGATTGAATATTCGGATGTATGCAGTCGCATAATCCATTAATCGATGCCAGCTTGCTGCACACACTAACACGAGTGCAAGATTTTCTTTCCCATATTTGCATTGAAATATTTCGTTACAGTGTGTTAGGTTAGGTTGACAACGTTGACATCAAAGGTTGATACGACTGCAACACGGGTGCGGAAGATATTAGCTATAAATCTCCCAATTAGAAAACTCCGATTTTGATTGATTGTCAATTTGATCACTAGTATAGTAAGTGAATCACTTGCGTGATTTGCTTATTTTATAGGTTAATTAGGAAAATACAGAGTCAGCAGACATTGTGGGAAGTTATTTATATAAAATAAAAGTAAAATCTCAATACTATTACTTTTTCTTGCCTTTTTCCTCATTTTCTATCCCTTTCAGTCACTCCACCGCTTTTGCTCTTCCTCTACTAAAGTTCTTGTCAGTCTGAGGTCAGATTTCTCCAGCTCTTTAGATTTTTCAACTCTTTAAATATTGTATTGTTCCACTATCTTGCTTACAAAGTAGGCATTCCCTCCCTTTCTCTCTTCACCAATACTTTTTGTGTTTTCCAGGCTACCTCGCTCTTGTCAACGACCTCTACTCCCCATTCTTTCTTCTTTTCCACTGGTATTTGAAAAGCTCTCTTCTCACCAGATATAGTGAATCAAATTAATATTCGGACATTCTAGAATTTTTACTTCATCACGATGTAATTTTGTTTATAAGAAAAAATATTAATATTTTCCTATATATCACATCGGTATAAAGTATCTAATTCATAAATACACAACAATTAATTATACAAATCGTAATAATCGTTGCATTAAGTGTATTAAATGAAATAATGTCTGATTTTAAAAGCAAATTAATGTTTGAACACTGTGATATATAGCATCAAATGCGAGCTATTATTTATACTCCAAGGTTTGTTTGTAAACATTATGAACTGTATGAAGCGTTCGAGTCTGAGAGTATTTACTTTTCGGTTTTCATCGAATTTAGTTGTGAATAATGCGACGTAGGTGTAATATTGCATTCGACAAACGCCAACTTGTGATTTTTCGCAACACGAAAGGGAAATCATGCGACAAATTGCTACGATGCTCAATATAAGTAAAAATAGCCATTCACATTGCTGTTAACTGTTACGGACCCAATTTTGTGCTCAGTTCGTGTTGGCAGGCACGGTGTTGAGTTGTAAGGCCAACTTGTGCAATAGACGGGCGTAAAGGACCAAATGATTCGGCAGGCTTCCGCTTGGTGGTCCAATGCTTGGACGTTGACACACGTTCTGAGTTGTAGGTACCCGATTTGATTTTATAGCAGATAGTCATTCCAGGGGACTGACTATCCACAAAGCTTGTATACTGGTTGGGTGATGCAGACTGTTTGTGCAGACTGCTTGTTGTGACTGTTTGATGATGACTGACGAATTCGCTGATGGAGACTGATTGTTGATGTATACTGGTTGACTTGACTCTGTGGTCGATACTGAACTGTGTTGTCTGATGTGCACTGAAGAACTGACTGTCTTATAGTTACTGATGAACTGACTGTTGAATAATGACCAACTGACTGTTCGATTGATATTGACTAACTGACTGTGCGATGCACAATCTTTCGAAGCCCAGGATTGCCAAAGGGAAATCGATTTTCCCATTGGTGGTTGAGAGGACCGAGGGTGGGCTCTCGGTCCGTGAATCAGTTGTCCCCAAAGAAGGGAGGAACGTCTTCCGCGACCAGGTCTGCTAGTGGAGGAAACCTCTCCCTCAAAGGGGGTTGCTGATGGGCCACCCGCACATTCGTGACCCGTTACTTTATGGCTTCGAAAGTCGTGACATCACACATGGCCTGGTCCTTTCTTTTGCAAGCCTATTGTCAGCCAAATCCTGAGTGCTGTTGCCTGCTTTCTAAAATTAATGGCTAAAGAATGCCTCGTGTCTGGTGACCCGAGGGAAATAAAGAACTGTTTGCAAAGTGTATTGAAATGAAGAAAATAGAAAACACGGAACTTGAAATAAAATAGCAATTAGAATCTGGCTGCCAGAAGACCCGTTAGGGGACCAATGATCAAATTATCTATACAAGATGCCATTAAATTGCTAATCTTGTTCCATTGAAGGGCTCAAAAGTCTCATATACTATAACCTTTATATCTATTTTTTTTTCGAATCTTCCATATTTTTTGAAACATTTAGTGGTCACATTTAAAACGGAAACATTGTACTATGTTATTTCAAAAATAAACATTTTTTCAAATAATCAATTCTTTAATTAATTACTTAATTAACTAAATAAAAAATATGACATAAATTGAAATATATTATTTATTAAATAATAATTAACGTTATTTTAAATAATTACCTTTAAATTATATTTATGTGTTATAATTATGACATATTATTATAACGAAAGAGAATTTTATTTTAATAATTTGGATAATTAATTGCATTTTCTACGACATTATACAAGAAATTATCAATATTGATTTTAATTATTTTACTATTATTCAATACTTTTTTTAACAATTTTTGTTGTGCATTCTGTTTTTTACTTTATTTGTGCTCTACAAGATTGTAGTGTACTATAATTTTGTTATGGAATCTAATTTTAATAACTTATAAATTAATAAATTTAATCCATTTCATACATTCGCTTTAAGAAACTAAAAGAGAAATTTTTTTTTTAATCTGGTGAGAGTGGAATTTCTAAATGCTCTGAATGTGGTACTTGTATTTTTTTCATTCAAGTTTCAGATTAGTAATAGTTTTTATTTTTATGTTATATTTTTGTGTTTTATTTATTTGTGTAATGTCGTAATTTTTTATTTATTTTTTGTGTAATCTTCATTGCACAAAATGGAGAATAAGGAAAATGAACCTAAGTTGTTAAGTTGTATGATAAAAGGTAAGATCTTGTAGAATTTTTATGTAAGTGTATGTATAATAATTTATCTTGTACTAATACAATAAAATAAAGTAATGTTGTTAATACTGTTACTTTTTGTGATAAATTTTTGTACGTAATTACATATATACCAATTATGGTAATACGTTGTATTAATATAATGAGGATTTAATCTAATTTTTTACATATATATTATGATTCAATATATATAGAATGAATCTCGTAGATTGTTATAAATAAATATTTTTTAAATAAGATGAATGGTCAAAAAATTGTTTTCCAGGACTGCTTTTAATATGTATTATGTTTTTAGATTGGTTATGTTCTAAGCTTTTATGATTACTTTCATTTGGAAAAATATACTATCAGTGACCTTCAATCGCCCTTGACAAGTAAAATTTATTTTGTATCAAATAAACCATTATAAAAATAGTGATTATTACTATCATTATTTACAATAATATATATATACATAGACTTACATACGAATATCATCGAATACGGCCAAAAGTCGTATTTATTGATGTAAATAAATTTAATTATCTTGAATTGATAAATATATTAATATAACAATGAAAGAAAATAATGAATTAATATTAGCATGGGTAATGAAATATGACCATTAATATATTGGTCCAACTCATATTATACATGTAGTATCGATTGTATTTTGTATTTTGTCATTATTTAAAACTTTTTTCCACTCTTTGTTAAACCAAAAAATTGTCAGTATATTAAATTTACCGAGTTGATAATAATTTAACAACGACGAGAATCATTATATAATTTTTGAATGGAAAAAGGTTACTTTATTGAAATAACCAGCAAAAATAAATTTAAATTTCATTGGGATGCTATGCATTAATGTGAAAACAAATAAAACTAAAAAAATCATAAAAATTATTAATGAATTATACAAGATGATTTTATCACTCATGGAATGATAAAATTATCATTTTCAATGATCGATGTATTTTGTTTCACAAAATCAATGGAGAAGTATAAAATAATACAGTACAAAAATACTAATGTTACAATAATTTGAAATAATATTTAATCCAATTTGGGGGCTTAAAAGATCTATAGCACTGAAAATATATTGTTTGTAAATATATATATATATGTATATATCTGTGAGTGAAATTTGTGTATTTAATATAAAATTACTTTATATTTTTTGTTTTAATATAAAATTGCTTTCTATTTCTTAAATATGTATACATATGTTACAAGATAACTGAGAAAATTAATTTATATTTTTATTATAAAAGTAGGATTTAAAATTTGAAGTGTTTCTATAATCAATATGTATCCGAAAACCAATCCTTTCAGAATAAAATTAACTTTTATTATTTACGAATATTCGACATTGACTATATACATTTTACATCGAATATAAGTAGAAAAATTAATTCAGGAGTTCATGGTTGCCAATAAAGTTATTAGTAATGTTGATAAATGACTACTTCATAGAAGCGTGTATAGTAATACAAATTTTCTTTGTTACAATAAATATTTGATATATTTTCTTTCCATCGTAAGATGAAACTCACATCTACAGATTGTAGATCAATCTTTTCTAATATTTCTTCAGGACCACATCATACATATGTATGTACATATATAGAGTGGGTCACTAAATACTGCCTTTTAGGTTATGTTCTTTATTATTACGCGTAGCGAAAAACGTTCAATACGTATTTGAATGGTTTCGAGGGGGGCACATTTTGATGGTACTAATTTTTTGATATATACATGTTCATATAATTCAGTGAATTTATAATTTTTCACTGAACGAAATGACACTGTTAGCAGCTCTTTGGAATTGTAGTGTACGCTTTCTTATTATGTATAAGAGAATATAGCATTCTATTAAAAAAAAAAAACTTGACCTTGATATCTCATCCATCACTTTTCCCACAAAGAACACATTTATGTAGGATCGGATTGGGTGGACCGGCTAAAGTAGCGCTGTTTTACTTCTTAATAAGATATCATAAGCTTACAGGTAGATTAACGGCTATGAAACAAGAGGTTACTCGCTATGCACATTACTGATGCACTCTTAGACACTAACTTAAGACCCTTAAGGACTGTTAAAAAAGACTGTCGACTCTACACCGTAGACCGTGGAGACTGGAGCTGCCCGCGCCCTTGCACCTTTATTTAAAACATTCATGCCTAGGCTGTCCTTTCCAATCATGCCCCTTTTCCAAGCAACCTCCGTGGGCCAGGTACTTCAATCACTCTGGACGCATCCCTAAACTTTCGTTCGACCCTACTATAAACATTCTTTACAGTTAATTCGCTTGCACGCGATCACTTCCATCCTAAATCCAAACACACTTGGCATTCTTTCAGGGCCGTACTTATTCCAATCCCACATTTATACCACATTACGCCTCCTTTTATACCAATCAATTTTTGTTCGAATATCTTTTTTCTATCTTATCGTTTTCAAGATATTCCAACGAGTCTAGATAAAACATACACCCTGTACAAATACCTACTTACATTCCTACATACATTTTCTATCCGTTATTATTATTTTATCGTTATTTACTACTGATGAATAGATTAACGTCTTTATGTGACCACATAAGCAAAAATTCAATAGATTCAAATAAGATGATTATTTCTAAATTAACTTCTCTATTTATACTCAACATATCGCAAAGAAATTCACTCGTAATATCGGATATTCATAAATTAAAATTTATTTTATTATTTATAAATAAAATATTTATTATAAAATAAAATAAAATTTGTCAAAAAAATTAATTTTTGTAACTCGTGTTAATTACATATTTTTTACTTACTTAGTAAGTAGCATAAGCTTCTCAAATTTGGGATCGTACTTTTTAAACACTCTGTATATACTTACATATTAAATATTCCATGCTATAAAAATATTGATATAGGTATGCTCCATGTTCCTTTTTTAATTTTCAAATATTTGCTAATTCTCACTTAGATAGATCATTTATGTATATTAAAATTAACATTTACTTCATTATTGCTATTACAATATTATTAGTAAGAACAAATATCATCTCTTAATATTTATAAAAATATGGCAATCTTTTTAAGAAAATGGTGTCCTTGCAGACTAAAAGCTTTTCCATATCAAAAATATTCCATACAAGTTTTAACAAATAGTTTTTTCATGTCTCGTTTCTCTTAAAAGATATATTCATTATCAGTTTACTGTAAGTTTATTTTAATTATTTATCGTAAGTTATTTTTGAGAGGTGCAAGAAAGGTACAAGAAAGATTTTCCAAGTGTCAATAATCGATTTTGATAAAATTTATGGAACACATATATAGTTAGCGAAAAAATATTTGATCGATATTATTTTTTTTAATGATTATCCATATCTAGAGAATCAAGATAATAAAACGAATTGAATAAATTAATAAACAAACATTATTATACAAACAAACTTTTATTATATTTTTTGTACATTTTTTAAACTGATATTTTGAAAATTTGCTTATAAAAATTTATCATCAGTAGAGTCATTTTACTAAATACAATGCAACAAACGATACACACTGCGATCGTGCTTCGATATATTTCATTATTATTTCTTAAACAATTTTCTAATCTCATTTTAAATTATTATGCATTTTTTCAAGAAGTTCAATTTTGACCTAGTATCTTAAAACATATTTTCTGTATTAATTTTTTGCACTGTAATTTAATTATGAGAAATTGTATATTGAAATTTAAATTTAGTTAGTCACTGTACAAGATGCCCAAATTAAAGAACGCTATTTAAATATCTCCTTTGTTATCAATGGCATGGAGTAGTTTGAATGTTTTTGGAAAAAAATAACATGATAGAAAAATCATATTTTTAACGCCATTCTTCTTAGTTCTTTTAAAATTATTTCTATTTTTATCAGGAAGTGTCTTTTTTTATTGCATCAGATATCAGATGAAGAAATACATTTGAGTAATACTAAATCATGACCTTCAAATGACCTTGTATGTCAAAAATATGATGAAACTGTAAAATAATGTTACAAGTTTATTCAATGTAAATACACTGCTTATGTTATGAATGCTTAAATTGATATCTATCAGCAGCAATAGAGTCAACTGCAGCAAATGTATTTACCAATTGATATGAACAAGAACTGTTTCCTAACTGATGTGGAAAAATTGTCAATAATCGTAAAGTCTTTCGAAGCAAGAAAGGATTAAACTGATTTACATTTATGATACACAAGCCAGATGACGAATTGATTTATATTTTTGGTGTATAAATCAAATGGTGAACAGATTTAGTTTTGCTGCATAAGTCATTTATTTTGTAGAAGAAAAGCTATAAGGCCCTACATAGGACGCTATTTCCTGATCGCAACTATTTATTACATTTGTTATGTGATAAAATAATTAAAAAATTCGAACACAGTGATAATATTGAAAACAAAATATCTCAAAGATCTAAAGTTGTTATGTACGAGACAAGTATAAGAAGAATTATTAATATCGTTAACTAAAATTTGCACGTTAGTAGCAATTCGAACGAGGATTTAATATTTAAAAAAGCAATTATATCAAGTATACTAAAATGATAGAAATTCCATTTTACCTATCGTTTCATCGTCAACTTCTTCAAGAAATTCTTTTTGTCAATGGGCATTACAATAATTTGAATACCATGAAACGTTTTTGAAAAAGATCCAAAAAACGTCACCGATCATCACCGAATTAATTTTTGTTAAAAATATTCATTATTGGGTCATAGAAAATTAGATCACAGAACAAATAAATAGACAAAGGATACTAAATGTTTAGAGTGAAATTTTAAATTAAAAAATAATTAGTTCCATATTATGAAAGAAATATTAAATAAATAAACATATACAATATTTTTATTGAGTGATTGATGTAAACGAATTGATAAAAAATTTTGTAACATAAGTATTTCTAAGATTATATACTACATATATACGAATATGATATGATGGTTAATCAGCTCATTATTTACGGGCAGCTGCTCGACAACTTACTACATCGAAAAAATTATATAAAAAATTGTATAACTACAGTTTGTGCTGATGTCGTGTCAGAGATAACTAAAAAAACATTTAATCCATGATTATTCGTTCCAGAAAATATATCGCTGTTAGTAAACATAATTTTGAGGATTTATAACATAAGCAGTTTACATACTCAAATACACTTAAATGTACTTTTTTATCTGGTATCGAAAGCAATACAAGGGAACATATGCTTTTCTGTTAAAACATATAGATAATCTTAAGAAAGGAACAAAAAAAGAAAAACCGGCCGGAAAAAAAATTTTATTATGAATCCTTTTCATATTAATATTTATATTATAATATTCATGATAATATTTTGGTTGCCTTCTTCAGCTGATTGTAAGACACCATATATATAGATATATAAATAGTTACAAAGAAAGTAATATTTTATAATTCATATATTTGTGCATGCTAAAACATTAAATATTGAGCTGAAATTAATTTCAGCAAATTAGAATTTTTAAAAGTATTTTACATAGAAATTCGAGAAAGAAACCAATAGCTACATAAATAAACAATTGGTTTACGGCAACAATAAAATGACCTATGAATTTTGAATTTAACTTTGGAAGTCCTTGAGACATATAGTACTGTAATTTGATTAATTTTATAGTAAATTTTAAAATAAAAAATATTAATATTAATATTTATAGAGTTTTAAATAAACTTAAATAAGAAATTTTTATCTATAACTGGCCAATTATTTTAATATTTACACAAGAACATTGATAATGTATTTTGAATATTTCAGATATTGCACAATATTATTAAAATAGTATAATTAAATTTAGATTATGGTAATTGATACTTATTGAAATAATTTACTGGAAATTGTTAACATTTTCAAATTTATTCAATTTAACAAAAATATATGTGTAGGTCCTGCGCCTATATATAAATTACAGACTTTAGTTGGATATGAAGGTCATTGTCTGTCTCGACCAAGGGGTCCAGCATATACCATAAGACCTCGAACACAAATACACGTAGAAAGTTTTGGACCTGGACCACGGTATAATGTCTCAAAATTAACAAATTATGGAGTAGATAGTCCTCCGGCATATACAATAGCTGGGAGAGAACCATTTAAAGGTACATGTATTTACAATCATATATTTAATACAAAATCATTCACTAATTTATCATGTAATAAAATAATTGAAAAATGCACATGGTCATAATTAACTAAATTAAAAAATTATAGGAAGTATGAAACTATAAACCAATCTCTTTAATTTGTTAATACTATAAGTTAAATATTTCCTACTTTATGATATTTCAAATACAAATATTTCTTAATTATCAAATACAAATATTTTTCGTTATTTTATGTATAATAAAATATTTTTTAATTACTTTGTAATTATCAAATTATAGAATATATGAAAATATTAATATTTGCTATTTTCTAGTAATATATTATTATAAATGATTATTATACATCTTTTTAGTGAGAGATTTTGGTCCAGGACCTGGAGCACATTACCCAGAACTATGTCCTCCAATGAATCACAATATTAGAGCTCCTGCTTATAGTATTAAATCTAGAACTAGACTGAAACTGGATGATGCTGGACCTGGTCCAAATGCATATATTTTGCCAACATGTATAGGACCTAAAATTCCTGATAAAGTAGCTCAAGGTGCCTTTTCTATGTATGTATATAAATCAAAAATTTAGATTAAATAATTATGTTTAGATTCTTTTAATTAATGAAATAATTTTAGATATAGTAATTTTTGTGAGCAGAATCTAATAATATATTGCAAATATTCTATTCTTTCTAAATTTATTCAAATTACTTTATATTAATTCATAAATAATCAAATATGCACATTTGTGTTTTATCAGCATTTTGTAATATATAGTTAACTGTGGTATGTATAGATTATATAAAATATTAATTATTAGTTAATCTTGTTTTAGTAAGTACATAGTATTTATTTTGATTGACTATGAATGTGATTACAGTGATTAATTATTAGCTAACATAAAATTTTTATAAAAAATAATTATATTCGAATATATTTTACCATATTTTACTATTACAGAGCTGGTATTCACAAAATGAAAGAAAAAGATGTTGGTCCTGGTCCAGCAGCTTACAAAAATGTCAGTACTGATCTTATAAAACGTAGTTCTCCAGCATTTAGTTTAAAATGGAGGACTCAGTTGTCAGAAATAGATTTAAGCCCAGGACCACGATATTACCCTCAATATCATGGTGCAAGACGTGCACCTATGTACTCTTTTGGTATAAGACATAGCGAATGTGCTGGCTTACCTATTACAGATTTAGATGAAGACTAATGTGCTCTGTTAATTTTGTAAATTATTATAGCACTGTGAAAATGATTTTATATTTTTATAATACATTTTTATATATAAATATTTATAATGTCAAGTTTATGTAACTTATGAAACTTGTTTTATATTAAAATATATATTCATGTGTACATTCTTAAAACAAATAATTGTTCTTAATTAATTCAAATTATTTCATGAGCTATCTAGAGATATTTTTTACTTTATGCATATCATACAATGAATGAAACTTCCTAAATGTTAAGATGTACTTAGGTTAATGATGATTTTGCCTTTAATGGTTTCTTGAGTAATCAATGATATTGTAAAATATCACTCTAAGCTTTCCTAAGCTTCTCAAACTCTTTATTTTCTATTATTTAAAATTAGATGGAAGTAGAAATTAATTGATAATTAAATACATTTTTGTATTTATGTGAATAGATATGTGAATAGACAAGAAATATGAGTTCTTAAAAAAATTGAAAAAAGACCCAAGAAAGTGGAAATAGTGAAAGAACATATATTTGGTGAAGGGGTAGTTAGTCGATTAAAAAAATGAACGGTAGACCGAGCCGGGTCGGATTAAAATCAAAATGTAGTCAAATTTTGTTACATTGGCATGGAAATAGACATCGTAGACATCCATTTGTCCACATTCCTCCTCCTTCCATTTATTCCAATGCATTTTCGTTTGTTGTAAGTTGTATTTTAATGTTGATACGCGTTATAAAATTGATAGACGCAAACGTATCTTACAATTTGTGTGCTGATTTAATCGTGAAAACATAATTGAGAATTTCGTATTTCAAATGAGAATATAAATTTGAAAATTCAAATTTGTTTAATTTTATTAGTTTGGATAGTGTACAAAAATAATATATATTTTATCATTATTATACCATAATTTGTTTATGTATTTTATTCATTCTGAAATGAATTAACAGCTTATTCGCAGGGTTATCCGTATCACTTCATTTGTGATAAATCCGACCACTCTCTTTTATCACTTAAATAATTTTACTATTGTAAACATGATAATTGTTTATATGCAGATGGTATGTACGTACATAAGAAAAAGTAATTAGGGAAGTGATCAGAAGTTATAGTAGTCAGAAAATACGAAAGCAGCTGTAAAAAAAGTTAAATCAAGAGAAATAACTACTCGTAAAATGACAGCAGAAATTCATAATAATGTAATACAACTTTACAAAGAAGTGCGAAATGTATAACTAATAATAAATGTTGTGATCGCAACAATTATAAGACTAATATTCTATTTAACATCATTTGAAAATAATACAACATCAACAAAAAGAATAGAGAAAATAAAAGACTGAATTGAACTTGAAATAAAATAAAAAACCCAATTAAAATAAGAAAAAGAAAAAAATATAACTCAACTCCGAGAATGAAAATTTAGGTTAAAAAATCAAGAGGATGGCATTTTTGAAGTTGATGTGAAAATTTTTTTTTACCAAAATTTCAGTATTTTTTTTTAGAGATTTTTAAGTTATCCGATTCGCCCTGAATTGGATATTCTTGACTTTTTAATTTTTCGTTCATAAAAGAAAAATTTTTAAATTCGTTTCTATTTTTTATCACTAATATTCATGTTAAATGTATACTTGTTATAAATTTGTAAGAAATAATTGCGTTTTTAAATTTTAGCTATTACTTTTTAATACAAAAAAGGAGTAATTTGATTCGCCTCTATCTACTTTAATTAAAATTTTTCGATCTATAACAATAATCAAATATCAAATTAATTATATATTATGAAATAAGAATATACGAAAATTGTCTTCGGAATATTACTAATAAGTAATAGAATTTACTATAATTTACTAAGAATAGAATAGTAAATAATAGAATTTCAATCACACTATTGTTCCCGAACAATTTGCGAACTGTTGTAGATATTTAACACCAAGCAATAAAATAGAAAAAATTGTTTCTTAAGTTTGAATTTCAACTTTATTTGTTAACTATCTTAGTATCTTACACTTACTACGAATTTACTATAATCAAATTCTATTTAATATTTTAGTTTGAAATTTGAAAGACTATTTGTAAAACCATCGTCAACATTCTAAATACCTCAAATTGTTTTAAAAGTCAAGACATTTGTACTTTCCTGTTGCTTGATCTTACGAGCTCGCTATATTGTTTGATGTGTACAATAGTAATCATAAGTTCAAAAATTGATTAGCGATCTCCGAGTTCAGAATTGCTTGCAAATTGCAGTATAAGTGATGCTGCTTCTGTTTGTGAATTGTTCGCTAATATCTATGCCATGAATCAAGAATTATCATTAATCAAGGAATTGTCTTCGAAAATCCTTTAAAAAATCTAAACAGTTAAGGACACCTTTTTAACTCTTTTAATAGCCTAAATAAAAGTAATTTTATGTAAAAAAAATCATTAGCTTACAAAATATAAAATCTGAAGCTCTAAATCCAGGAAACGCAGCAATTTTTAATTATAATCTTTGGTATTTTATATTTGTTGCATTTACATATACCAGATTATTAAATAAAATCTTTTGTTTCGTTTTCCGCTTTTGTAACAATTCTTTAACAACAAAGTTCCTATTCAAGCAATTCGATATCAAACTGTTTGCCATCTGATATTAAATCACTAACTACCTAGCATTAAAAATTTAAATTACTCGATCTCATATGCAGTATCAACGTAATGTTAAGTTAATTATCTTCGATGATCATCAAAACTACGTTATTGTTAATAATATATGTAAAATATGAATTTAACTTATGCATTATTTTTAAGATATTCACAAAATTATGGAAAAAAAAACGATATATTAACTTCTGAGTCTTTTACATCTTTAATTATATTCTAGTAGAACTGCATAGTTTTATCTTTTGTTAAAGTTTGCAAACATGCATAAAAATAATTTTTGCAATTGTCAACATATCCGCAAGTTATACCAACATATCAATCACCTGTTTACATCAAACATGGATCCATCAAAATAATACCATCCAAAATTTATTTAACTTAAATTTTTCTGGACATGTAAATTATCAAGTATAAAAATGCCACCAAAACCAGACACACAGTCAAAAACTGAACCAGACAAATATATAGGAAGTCCTGCATGCAATTACAGAAGTAAACAATAAAACGTCATTTCGTTCTGTTACAATTTCCATGTTTTTAATTATGTTTATACAGAAATAGTATTGGATTTGATTGAATATCATAGTAATTTAACACATTTTATACGTTAGGTCCGGGTCCAAAATATAATCTTAAAACACTTGTTGGTTTCCGAGAACATTGTATTTCTAAACATCGAAATCCAGCTTACACTTTCGGCAACAGACAACCCTTTTTACAATTATGTGAAGGTCCAGGGCCAAAATATCTGATTCCCGAGCCGAAACGTGAAGGCTTTTCATTTGGATTAATAGGAAAAACTTTTGGTATTCTTTTTATTCTACTCTTTTGGTTAAAATTTAGTTTAAAATAAAATATTTTTAATATTTAATTCATATTTAATTCTATGCAGTATCAGAAATTTAAAAAATTTATTACACCTTTCTTAAACTGTGCATTATGTTATTGAAAAAAAAATTGATTTGATTTTGCTGTTTATGTTATTTCATTATAATAAAAATTCCATATAATTTGTAAAAAATGTTTTTTTATAAATTTGGGAACATTTGAATAAAGTGGAAATTATATAAAATATCAAACTAGATTATGTAGTAGAATTTTAATATTAATACAATTTTCAAATTTACAAGGTATTATAATCTGGTTTAATTTTACTTACAATACTTTAAACACTTAATTTTTGAACTATCGCTATATTTTTAATTTGAAAAATTTAAAATATGATTTGTATTTGAAACTGTAACAATACATAATAAAGAATGATTAATATTTTACATTCACAAGGTTATAGTTTATAATTATTTTGTTAAAAATAAATAATTATGTATGTTAGAACTTTCTTTCCTTTTGCTAGGTCCTCCTTGTGTGCCTGGTCCCAAATATTTGTTACCAACTCCAAAAACACCAGCATTTACAATAAAATCCAGAACTAAACCTAGAGACACTTGTTTCACACCAGGTCCTTATAATGTAAAGTTGCCTCCAGCAGGTCCAGCTTTTTATATGTACGTATTCCTTTTATACTACATATGTGTATACAAAATAAGTACCTATGCATTGATACTTTATATACTCATATAAATATAATCATTAATGTATCATTTCACATCAAATCTTAAATGTTATTAATTTAGAGATATGAAAATCATAACGAAGATAGAACATGATTTGTTGGCTTTTGATTCTAATATATTTTTGTGGTATTGTAGTGTATCAGGTTTTTATTAATGTTTATACAATCCTAGATGTAGGAATTTCATAGATCCAGATATTTAATGTTACATATGTCTTTGAAATATTACAGTAGGAAGTTTGCATTCTAGTATCTGTATAATATAGTAATAAATAATTAATGGGTTAGTGAATTTTTATTTGGTAGGTTTGGTCTTTGATCAAATTTGTTATATAATTCAGATAATTCATATTATTTAATATTTTTATGTTAATTTTCGTAAAAGTAATAATTACTTTGATGAATAATAAATAGCAAATTTTATATTAGAAAGAAGAAATTTGATTGTAATCTGTAAGAAAGATCTAATTTTAATTTAAGAAAATTGCCATAATGTGATTATATTATAATGTTCTATAAATTTAAAAGAGAATAAAAGAAATAAAAATGATAATACTTTGATAGTGAATAGTAATATCATACACAAAGATTATTGTAATATTGTGGTTATATTTATAGGAAGGAAATAGATAATATTATAAAAAAAAGTGTTATATATATTTAAATATATGATTGCTGTACTGAAAGACAATATATATATACATATATATAATAGAAAGATATTGAAAGTGTAAAGACAATACAATAATACAAATCTAGAAGATAATAAAAACAAAGAAAAATTTTATTTTTTAATTATATAAGAAAATGTTAAAAAATTGTAAATTACTTATTATTTTTATTAATAATGTTGTAAAGTAAAAAGTAAATCTCATACTTACACTAGAAAAGGAAATAGAAAAAAGCATATATAATCAGGGATATTTATAATAAAGTTAATTATATCAAAAAGAGAGTTAGACAAGAAAAAGTTACACAAGACAAGCATAAATAAAGGAAAAATAATTAAAATTATAATCATAAGGCTATCATACATGATAATATTGCAAATTCAACAATTTGATCGAAGGAAAAAGTTCAAAATATCCTTTATAACATATTTAAAAATTTTTGTAATCCATGAAGTAGTTTTCTAATGTGTTCATCATATCTTCTTACATAATAAATGATAAATTAAATTGTTAAAATTCAATAGTTTGTGTCAAAATTAAAATAATTAAAGTAGCAATTTTTTTTATAGAAATAAAGTATTAGGTTTGATATTTCCTTAATTCTACAACACATTTTAAGTACTTTGATGTGTTCAAAATTATCTTTTATTAATAATCTAATCTATGATTTATTTTCATTTCAAACAAATTTATCAGTTTTCATTAGTGTTTTTTTTCTTTTTTACAAGGGTCTGCTTTTATAAACAAATATTAATTTTTTAAAAAAGATTAGAAATTAATTAAATTTTTATAGATGTGTATCTGCAATCATTATAAATTAGAGATTAGTTTTATTAAAATTAAACAACTATGTCAAATAATGTATACTTATAGTGTTTATCTTCGAAGGAAAAAAAATGTAAATTAATAAAAAAGTTTTAACATCAGCGAAAATATATGTTTGCGTATAAACATGCACGAACAATATTGAAAGGGTTATGCATAAAGTTATGGAAAAATAGAAAATAAATACATTCAAAGGAAAGAGAACAGTTACTTCGAAAATGTGGATGGAAGGAATCATGAACAAAAAATTGTTTATTATTTAAGTTAAGGATAATAATTATAAAATATAAAGTGATTAAAGAAGGAGACCACATGATTTAAAAAATATACTTTTGTCGTTTTGATTATATATAACTGTAAGAAATATCATCAATGTGCGATCGATACAGGGATCCACTAAATAACACTACGGCTCTGCACATGTGCGCAAACGTAGTACGATAAATGCGCGGGAAAGCGTCTATCGGCTTGGCGTTAGTTATATTGCGAATGGCGTAATCTCAAGATGTGTGCAGAGAATATTCAATATTACATCGTATTTTAGACTGCCAAATATACCTAGTTTATTTATACTTTTTAGCTACTAAATCCGTCTTATTATGTTGGTAGAAAAATAATTTCCTTTTTTGTATTTTCAATTTTTGCAGCTTGATATTGGAATAAATGTGGTTATGTTATGTATCGTTCGAAAGCGTTGACTCCGCTCCGTATTTTAATAATAAACATTTTGTATATAGCGATGATTTACGTTTTATTTAGGTTATTTAATTAAAGATGGGAAAAAAGCAAATTCGAGTGATTTTCTTGTACGAGTTCAAACTGAGCACTAAAGCAACGGAAACTGCTCGGAAAATTAATGATGCTTTTGGCCCTGGCACTGTTCATGAACGTATAGTACGACTTTGGTTTAAGAAGTTTCGTAGTGGAGATAAGGGCCTTAAAGATCAAGAAGGTCGTGGACGTCCATCGGCAATTGACAATGACCAATTGAAAGGCATTGATTGAAGCAGACCCCCGCACAACGATTAGAGAGCTTGCGAAAGAATTAGACGTATCTCATCCGACAGTTCTGGACCATCTGAAACAACTTGAAAGAACAAAAAAGCTTGACAAATGGGTCTCGCACGAACTAAAGAAAAATTAGTTAAAGTGAAATTAATTAAAAAGTATAAAAACATGAAAAGGGGCTAATTAGTTAAAGTGAAATTAATTAAAAAGTATAAAAGTATAAAAAGTAAGGCTAGATGTAATCTTGTACCACGTATTTGAAGAAAAAAACTCAGCATTATATACTTCCCAAACACTCAACAAACAGGGAAATTAGGAAATGACAATTATGAATGGTGGAAAATTCAGATGAGGAGCATTTTACGTTTCAACGGACTGTGGGGATATGTAAACGATACGATTACTAAAATGAAAGATAATGCTGCACAATGGACGTCTACAGTCGAAAAAGCTCTCGACTTGATTATATTGAGCTTACACAAATCCTAGTATAATAATATTAAAAGGTTTGACACTTCATTAGAGACATGGGAAGCGTTGAGCAACGTGTATAAACCAAAAGGACTCATGCAACAGTGCTGCTTAAACAACAGTATAGAATGAAGAAAGAAAAGAGACAAACCATGTCTCAATATGTGAATGAATTTGTTCAAAAAGTAACTTGCAACTGGCAAGCGCAGGCATCAAACTACCGGAAACACTATTACCAATCATATCACTGTAGGATAGTTTTAGAAAATAGACATAAAGTGCAGAAAGACCTGTTACGGCCTTTCAATAGCCAAATCCTAAATGCCGAACAGTACGTGTCTCGGGGTTTATTTGCTCGGGTCACCAGACACGAGGCATCGTTGAAAAGCCTATTTAGGCTATCAGGCTCCGGCATTTAGGATCTGGCTGTCAGATAGACCGTGGAAGGTCGGGGCCAGGTCATGTGAGGTGGCCTCGCGCAACCCCGGCTTTCCCCGGCATAAACCGGCGGTGACGCGGCCATGGTCACCTCTCGGGAAGGGTCCCCGAGAGTGTGACCCTTCGTAGGGGCTAACTCGGAGGGAGGAGTCTCCTCCACCCTTGACCTTGACAGGGGGAGTTTCTCCTCCTTCGGGGAGACGCTTGTTTTCTAGACGGGCTTTAACCCTTTGCGGTCGATGTCCCACAGCGGGGATGTAGCGACCAAGTTCTCACCCTCACCAATAGATGGATTCCTACTTGAAGGAGGTTCGAGGATTTTCTCACAAGTCCACGGTGAAGCCTCGACTTCTCTTAAATACAAGTTCCTGTGACACCTAAGTATTCCAGTGTCTAAGGCAGGGCCTGCTGAA